CACACATTTATATAGATAAAGGTTTTGTATTTGTGGGTACAATTTTTTGTATTTCTTCAAGGTGTGGGTTATTAGCAATACCTTCAATGAGTCAACTGGAACCTTTTCCAATCAATCCGAGTACTCAAGCTACAACTGGAATTATTGATGTTCTCATATACCATATCTTTGAGATTTCCACTTCATGATCCTTGTATTTTATAGTTTTTTGAAGATCTTTAAATATACATTACAATCTGCAGTGATTGTATGTCCATGAGAAAGTACATTTTGTTTTTGTGATATTTGATCTTTATTATTATTATTATTTAGTCGAAACAATCAAAACACATTTATCATTTAGGCTTTGGACATAGAAATGTTTACATCGGTGTAACATGAATTTGCTTTCAATTTTGCGTTTATTGTGTGCCGCGCCTCTTCAAGACGTGGACGATTAAGACTATGGACAAATGAATGTAAACTTTAAACTTACAGGTTTTCAGATTAATTATATACACCTTCGTAAGAAGTATTTTTCCGACACATCAGTTAGGTAATATTTTGATCATTATTATTACTATGACATAAAGATATTTAATATTATGGAAAGAACAACGCGATCTGTGTTGATATTACTTAATTACAATTTACTATGGCACAAAAACAAGTTGGTATAATTGTGGTATGAAAAAATGTATGAAGTGTTGTAACAGTCTACAAATTAAGGAAAGCCTGTATTTCATGAAAATTAGCTTTCGAAATTCTAGATTTTATCTGAACATTAGAGCCGGAAGTATCAGGTCATCCCATAAGTTCTGTCCGAATTTTGAATAAAGAAAACAAGTGAACAAATGCTAAATTTAATTACAGATTCAATCAACAATGTATTTTCCCTGATTATCTATGACTTCCTTCCATCTATTAACAAGCTTACTAATTCCATTACTGTAAAAATTTTTTGGCTTTGATTCGAAGAACTCACAAATGTCAGTTTTAACCACTTCCTGTGAAACAAATGGTAGTCTGAAGGAGCAAGATCGGGAGAATAATTTGGATGAGGAATTTTCTCCCAACCAAGTTCTTCGATCTTTTGTGACGTGATTCTTGCTGTGTGGGGTCGCGCATTGTCCTGATGAAACATCACCTCTTTTCGATTCACTAGAGCAGGTCTTTTTTCCCTCAAAGCTTGGTTGTTCACACGCTCTAATTGCTGACAGTATATTAGAGTATTAATTGTTGCATTAGGTCGTAAGAATTCAAAGTGGATTATTCCTTGGCGATCCCACCAGATTGAAAGAAGAACCTTTTGCCCATGAAGTTCCCTTCTCCGCTGTGGCTAGGGTCCTTCCCCTTTATCAAGCCACTGTCTACGACGCTTAACATTTCGATAAAAGATCCATTTTTCGTCGCCAGTCAAAAGTCTATCCAAATAAGGTGAAACAAGTTGGCGAGAATGGAGAGAAGAGCAGATGTCAACTCGGGATTTGAGGTTGTTTTCAGACAATTCATGAGGCACCCATTTTCCAAGTTTAGGAACTTTTCCAAGTTGTTGAAGATGACGATGAACAGTTGTATGTTTTAAATTGAGAACCACTGCCAATTCCTCAACTGATAAAGCAGCATTTTCTTCAAGGGCTGATTCAAACTGAACTGGACGTCCGGTTCGATCTTCATCTTCAAGGGTGAAATCTCCACCTCTGAATTTTGCAAACCATCTTCAGCAAGTTCTTTCATTCACACATTCCTCTCCATAAACTGAGTGAATGTTTCTAGCCGCTTCGGCTGCTGAGTTTCCTTTCTTGAACTCATAAAGCATTATGTGCCTCAAATGATTCTTGGGTAATTCCATGTTAGCAGGGTTTTAATCAAACAAAATTTAATTTTATTGTTCTCTGAAATAAAATTTGATGAGTTTAAATGCATCTAAACATAAAAATAATGTTCAGCTCCATTAGACATTATAAAATACTCTTTAATTTTCATTCATTTTAACAAAAAGTTAAAATTCGGACAGAACTTATGGGATGACCTGACAAATATACAACTATCTTAGCTAGGATGATTTAAGTATTTAATAAGTTAAGCTTGCGTGTTAGTAAGATGTAGAATAATATTCGAAAAATAATGAAACAAAATGGAAGAGCCATTTAACTATGTGTTTCGTTTCTTATGGTAGGTGCCTTCAAGCCGGTGTGAGAAATAAATCCGTGTGTAAGAAAAGGGATTTTGTAATATTGGTAAGAGTTAATAAAGATCCTTATCAGATATTGTGACCAGAAAGTTTTTCTTTTTCTTTTCTTTTTTTAATCCAGCAAAAGTTAACGGCGTTAGTACGAAAAAATATTTCTGGCTGCAGAATTTGATGAGGATCTTTATTACTCCTTCCCCAAACTCCAACACCCTTTTTTCACACACGAGTTTGTCGCGCATTACAACCTGAGTACACCTACTATAACGAGTAGTTTATCAGTTTTCCAACTTTTTTTCATTATTTCTACAAGACTAAGATTACTGAAAACTACAATGTAGACAATCATGTGAAAATCGAATGGCTTGCTAACCATTGATCCATGACGAGGCGCTTTAACGGGATTTGTATTAATACTACTGATTCTGTTACAATCTTTGTTCATATTAGTACCTCTGTTATTAATAATAATATACAGAAAAATTGGCACCTCGATATGGAACAATGGTTAGCAAGCCGTTTTAAAAGACAATTATTACTGTAGTGAGTTTTTTCGTCACTGAGTACTTCAAACATTTGAATACTGTACAAAACTAAGTTAAGCAAATCATCATTATTTCCTCTAAACACCACCATCATCATCAGTGCCATAATCGGATGTGATCGTATTGTCACTTCACAGTTCATCATCTGACCAACTCCTTCCTTATGTCTGAGTTTTGTGCCAATGTCTGAGTTCCTGTGAAGGATCTTCAAGTCCCCCAGTGAAATTGTCAGTCCATTTCTTCATCTCTCTGCGTCCTTTTTTTCCTTTTCTTGTGGTACCCTGTAGGATGATGTATCCATACTATTTCAACTTCCTTTTCCTGACAGTGTTTATAAGGTTTTCCAACGGATCTGTTTCTTTTTTTTTATGTTGCCTCGCACTGGGTTATTTGTGATGCGGTCTAAATAGGGGATGGCTAGAATAGTTCTGCAGTATCTAATTTCTAATAATAGTTTAGATCGTGCATTGAATACTGTTGCCATATCTGGTCTGGGGTCCCAGTTGTACATCTCGACAAAAATCAAAGTGTCTGTAATATAATCAATCCTGACCAGGTATCTCGACTTCAGTCAATTTCTCACCGATGTGTCATGGCTGTCCTCTGTCTTTTTTACAAATATTTTCATGACAACTGTTCTGATCAGCTTTTTTACCTGGTGCCTCGACTGCATGAATTTAAGCGTGCTACTAGATAAGCAACTAGGTTTTACTGTTGAACTAGCTAGATGCAACCTCCACTTCTAACCTAACAATTTATTTTCTTGTACTTCTCACCAGTGGAACTTTCTTCCGATTTCTTGCTTCCCTGATAACTACAATCATCAAAATTTAAATGAAACGCCAATCGCCATTTTCTGTCTTCTTGAACCCTGCCTGTACCTATTTTACCCTTTCCTCAATCCTCTCCACTACAGACTTCTCATTCTCTTTCTTTCCCTGTCACCCCTGCGTTCTAGTGGGCATTATAGTCATGCTTACGATGAAACGATTAAAAATATGTAATCAATAAAGACCCGACAAAAACTGAATCATTTTTCTTAGTTAAAACTAGAGATTGTGAGGATCAAGAAAATTAACGCAATCTCAAAGTTGTCTTTAATATTCTTAAATGTATTTGTTAACGGCCAGTTGCAGTTTTCTTCTTCTATGAGCCTTGACCCTTCAGGACATGGGCAATCATCCAAAATCTCCTGTCCTTTGTATCCCTCAATAAAGTTTGTTTTGTTGCTATCTCTCCTAATCCCTGTTCTGCCAACCATTTACATTAGATAGGTTATTCGCTACTTATATCTGTCCCTTTTGCCTTCAAGATGTCATGTGAGTGTTAATTTTTTTATGTTCTCTTTCCTTATTATGTGCCCCAGAAAATTCAAAGGTCTCTTTCTGATACTACGTATAAGTGTACTTTTAGATTTCATTTTCTCTAAACTTTCATCTTTGCTCACGTGTTCAGTCCATGGTATTATCAGCATCCTTATACAGAACATATACAAGGGTTGTATTGTGGTATACGTCCGAATCTTTTAATCTACCAAGTGGTGTATCGACTTACACTTATATCTTGGTCAGCCTATGAACTTTTCAGCCGAACCTCGTATATTATGCCTATTAAATCTCTTATGAATCAATAACTGTTAATTTTGAATTTTTGCTGTTCATTTTGCTCCATTATCGCTTAATTTTTTATATAAACGATTTCAAATATTTGGAATTATAAATTCAACTGAAATTTGTCACTTAAAAAATGTAATTTTAGTATGTTGATTCGGTTTCTTGCTAGCCGTTTGCATCACACACACGTAAGGAGACAAGAAGATCTGAAAACAATAGCGATAGACAATTACAGAAATCTGAAGACAATGTCGACAGAGAGAGAGAGAGAGAGAGAGAGAGAGAGAGAGAGAGATCTGAAGACAATGTCGATAGACATATAGAAAGATCTGAAGACAATGCTGGAGAGACCAGTCTGTCCTACTATTTAAGCTATAGCTGGGGGAGAATAGATGGTTTCATATCTTTCCTAGGGCTATTTGCACGAGTGTGAGTGTAATGAAACTCAATTTGAATTTTAAATCCGCCTCCTGATTTCTCATTCTGAGCTGCTAGCCCGTATATCCATCCATCCATACAGACAGACAAAAATATACTGAAACAGTCTAGTCGTCATATTAATACGAACAGACTGACTGGAATTAGGACACATGGAATGAAACAGATTTAGACAAAGATCTCAAAAGATTGCAATAGATAAGTAGAGAAGAAAAAGAATAATATATAACTTACTGAAGTTTTTGGACATCCTGGATTTTTGTTATGGTTGGCCATCTGTAAAAATAAAAGTGAAAGTTTATGTTTCCGCCAAAGTATTTGTATCTGTCTATATCTCTGAGATGAGGTATTGTAATTATTTACGCTATTTACATTGTTCGGACTGTTGGTCTCATCTTTGTTGCCATATTCACGACGTTTTAACTGTTGTGCGCTCCGGCCTTCTTCAGGTAATTAGAATTTCGAACTGAACCCTTTATTTCGTCCACTGGGGTAGATTGCTCTAGTTCCTCGTGCCATGCCTCTTCCGGATGTCTTAGTTAACTCCCAGTAAATTAACTCTTCCGTGTTCAGGCGTTGAAGTGAACCCTTTATTTAATCTATGAGGGTAGAATGTTCTCGTTTTCACTGCCCATGTCTCGGGAAATCTCGTCTAGCTCATATTTTTAGTATTGCTCAGTTATTGCTCGAGATTTATTGCGTTAACATACAGCAGTTATGACTGGTGATTTTCCAAGTGTAGCTTATATGTGACACAAGGCCGAAAGTAGGGGGCACCCAGTGACGATCGAACTTACTATTCAGTCGTAATTGTTCTAGTGAGACAAGCTTGCAAAACATTACACAGCCTCGAGGTGCCCAAAATGATTTTCTAAGTGTAGCTTAGATATGTCAGACGACCGAAAGTGTGGCGCACTCAGTGAAGATCGAACTCACTATTCAGTCGTAAATGTTCTAGCGAAGCAAGCTTGTTAAACATTACACCACATTGAAGTGCTCCTGCTCAATTATTAGTCGCCCTATTTCCAACGAGGACAAGTACACACTGCCCTGTCCAGGGATTGAAGTGAACCCTTTATTTAATCTATGGGGGTAGACTGTTCTCGTTCCACTGTTCATGTCTAGGGATATATCGTCTAGTTCTTATTTTTAGTATTGCTCAGTTATTGCTCGCTGCGTTTTCTCAGAATCCAAGTTCACACTGCCCAGGCCAGGGATTGAACTCTTAATTACTATGATACCAAATTCATGAACCAATGCTTTAATCCTCTACGTTAGTGCTTCCGCAATTTGGTGACAGAATAATTTTAAAGTACTGAAAAAGGACAAAATGAAATAAACATTTTTCACCAAATTTTACGCTAATTTGTTAAGATTTATCGCAAATATTATTTGGTCGCTACAAGGCATAATACTTTCAGATGAAAAAAAAAAAAAAAAAAAAAAAAAAAAAAAACCCCGTGGGGATCACTTCTCTTTGTGTTCCACTTCCTTTTTGGTGCCCCAAGCATGCGTTTATTTTGTTTAATGGTTAACCTTTCTACCATTTTCAGACGGCCGTGGTAATAATTCCAATGGTCTATCCCGGTCACGGCTACCAAATCTACCACTTTCAAACGGCCGTGGTAATTCCCATGGGTCTATCCTGGTCAACACGGCACCAAATCTACCACTTCGTCCCCAGCCCCTCAACCTCCGGCGTCTTCCTCTTTGGGTTGAGGTGTCCACTCGGTCCGAACCGAACTTAGGGGTAACTGGCCGTACGCTCCCTGAGTACCCGTAGATTATTTCGACCGGTCAACTTGTCAAGTCCTGCTTGCTGCCCACGCTGTGTTAGTTTTTAGATCCAGTAAGCGAGGTGTTGTCCATACGTTCACGGTCGACTGGGGATGTGGACACGGCTGTGAGAGTTGGCGGTAGGAAGTTTAGAATGTGGCAAAATAAAACAAGAAATAATATCTGCAGAAGCCCGACAACAATGGGGGAAATATTGACGTCTTTTATATAAGAAGGTAACATCAGAACAGAGGTTACAGGGAGAATAAAAACATTTAACATAAATGAAAAAAGAAAAAGAAAAAGACACAATGCATCCAGCGAATTCCCAACAGAGAGAGGGTTTCTGTGTGATAAACGCGTATTGAATCGCCTGAGGTAGGTTTATGACTAGTAGTCCAGTCTCATACAGACTTCTCAGAACAGGGGCAGTCTTCCTTCTCTAATTCTTCCGCAAATCTCACGAGACTCTGTCTGACGACGGCCTCGTTTCCCGACTCTCTCTCTCCCGTCTCTCTCTTCCGTCTGGCCTCTTCCGTCTCGCTCGACCGTCTGCTTCTCCCGTCTGGCCTCTTCTGTCTCGCTCGACCGTCTGCTTCCCGCCTCAGCATAACTACGCTGGTTTATATAGATAAATCTGTTTGATCATGAATCGACCCTTGGCCCAGCACGCGATTATCATGAGTGCCAAAAACTATCCCTTGACATGTAAACCGATTCTCCAATTATTTACCACGGGTTTTTCTTGCTTCCCCAAAATTATACATTGGGATATCTAAACATTGATTCAACCTTTTAATCAAAACAAATACTGTTAAACAAAGCCAATTATCTCGTAGCCTGAGTAAGCTCTATTGCAATTTTTAACCGATAAATTTTATTTAGATCATTTTTTCATTGTTTTTTTTCCAATGACCCAGATTTAAAACATCGCCTCCTGCCTGAGATCGTGTTTCTCATCGGTAAACACTCATCTTAACCCAAATTGTACTTTGATATATAAACACCATTTCCACTTCCAGTCAATAAAAGTTATATTTGCGTGTGTGCATTCATATGAGTGTGAGAGTGTATACCTCTCTCTGTTACACCTTTAGAACTATTTCCTCAGAATAGATAAACTCAAAAAAACAACAAAAAACAAAAAAAAACAAACTAGCTCAGCAATCTATATAATGAATACGAACGTCAGTGTGTCACTATGTCACACTTTTATATATACTATTTTGGAATCAAGCCGACTCCGTTAGCAAATGAAAACATTACGGTCGGATCCGGACCCTTATTGAAATTTTGGATTCACAAATTTTCATCACTGCCATTGTTTTCGGATCCCGCCATATTGGCTTCTACTGATAAAAACAACTCTTTAACTTTCAATAGCTCATGTTAAAATGAAAAAAAAATACTGTTCTCAAATAACAGTGTTTTAAAATAAAATTATTCGTGTTGTCAACTTTATTCCGCGAGGCAGTAGATCGAAATATACCATTTTGGATTCAGACCGATTCCATGAGCGAATTAAAAACATTCCGGGTCGGATCCAGACCCCCAAGCCTGAAATGTTGGATTCTCAAGTTTTCATTACCGCCATTGTCTTCGGCGATTTTTTTACGTGATTTTTTGCGACGAATTTTTTGTACGATAACAATTTTTATAACTTGGAAATAAATTTGGGAATAATAAGAAGTAATTGCGAAATCCAGCGAAAGTCAGCCATGAAATTAAAGTAATTGTTTATACGGAAAGTAAGGACGTATGTACATCAAATTGTCTTTAAATAGAACTTACATTTAAGCTTGCGCCAGAAGGATCATTGTTGAACTTTTAAAAGGTAAGCTTAAATATTAGTGCAGCGATCAATTTTGAGTTCTTCTGTAGTTTATTGTTGACTATCGCATGTATTTCTCCCAAGCTATTATGATGAAGGTCCAATCAAGGACCTTCCATAGGAGTCAGCTTAAATGCCGCCAGATAGGGCGGCTTTTAAGCTAGTATTTTAATATAAATGATATGTAAATTTCAGTTTAGAACTAATCTGTTTTTATAACACAAACTGTGTTTATTTAATAAGAATGGATATTGTGAAGATAACATTAAGAGGGTAAAACGTTACGATGATACGTTTTTATGCTTTATTTATGTATTTATGTGTTATGTTTATCTGCAAGATTCTTTGTTGAATTATATGTTTCTATAGCAAGATAATTTTTTACAGAACAGAGTTGCTAGACTCTCGTTAAACGGGTTTTGAATTAAGATTTGATCTTTTCCTACTTTGGTTGCTTACCAAAGCTAGATAGCCTAGTCTATCGTGCTATTAAGAAGGAGAACAAGAGATAATGAATTCATACCTTTCCAAAGGTATTTGTGCGAAAGTGAATACAACACGACTGATGTTTGAACTTGACACGCCAATACCACTTTCACATTCTGATAACCACTACGCTACGAGCACATAGAGTACAAAATATTTAAAATACTTGGTTACTAAATAATAACATGACGGTGATGACGAAGCATTTTTTCGTGTCCCGCTTTTAACAGATATCTCAACGTCGCGTTCTCAAATATTTTATCCTATCTCAATATTCTCAAATATTTAATGATAAACATCAATATTGATAAAAAAAAACACTTTTCAACTTACATTTAATATATAAAGATCAAAATGTGTGTGTCTGTCTGCTAGAAACCATGAAAATGAAATATATCAAGTTGATTATACGCATAAATATTACGTAAAAATTCTCACCCCAAGCATATGCGGCTTATTATTTATATTTAGCAGTATGTGTCTTGTACAGTTTAGCGTGTCTTACTTATTGGAAATAACTAATTTGCATATTAAATTTTGAAATAACGAGATATTAAAAATAGTTATAAAGTTCAAATATTTCGTCATTTCCACGAACGTGCAATGGATGTAGATGAAAAGACTTCAATTTACAAATATTTGTCAAATAAAGATTAGTGTCATTTACAATGTAATTTTAATTGTTTTTCTAAGATATGCAAAGGCATTCTATACAAGGATGGACATTCTATACAAATTGGCTCTTAAAGAAGATACTGGATTGCTAAAAGGGGGGGGGCTTATTTAAATAGACAAGTCAAATTCTATATGATATTGAGGACGACAAAATAATTTTCATAGAATTGCAAACTTGCGTTAACGGAAGAAATCGTTAGAAACAAAGAAAATAGCGCTGGATTGCTATGTGATATCCATCCTCTTGTATGGTAGTGAATGCTGGACAATTTCCCCACGGTGATGAAAAACTAGAGACAGAATTATACAGAAAATTCAATTGACAGAGCGAGTAATCAACAAGGAAGTCTTAAAGAAAATGGCAACAAAAAAAAAAAAAAAAAAAAAAGAAAAAGAAAAAGAAAAAAAGAAGACTTACACACAAAACCAGGAAAAGACAACTGAAATTCCTTGGACACGTAACGAGAAAGGAAGGCTTGGAAAACTTAATCCTTACAAGGCATATTGAGGGCAAGAGAGATCGAGGAAGGCAGTGAGAGTTTGTTTGAATGGATGGCAGCCATACTCTTAATAACATATGTAGAGCGTTGATAGCAGAAGAGAAAAGAAACTACAGGCACTTCTACCTAACATCGAATGTCTCTGTTTTTTGGATTGACCCAAATTATTTTATTTTCCGGCGTTCCTTTCTTTCTTTATTATATTATTTTATAGGGGAAGTTATGCGTGGAGCCTCTCTTATTTTGGTAGATTTCTAGTCACAATGGCTAGAAATCGGAGCCAGCAAACTTCCGCCGTGTTCAGTCCTTTCTTCTTTTTATTTGAAAGTTGCCTTCTCATTAATTGAGAGAGAGAGAGAGAGAGAGAGAGAGAGAGAGAGAGAGAGAGAGAGAGAGAGAGAGATGGGTTTTAAAGGAAAACTAATTTGAATTCATTTGGGGGTTATATATTTTATTTTCATATTTTACTGCGAATTTCGTCAGAAACAAAAAAGGAAATGTAATATAGGTCCTGCTATATGGAAGTGAATGCTGGACACATTCATCACAAATAAAAAAGACTTGAGGCAATAAAAATATAAAAATTCTCAACATCCTTCTGTAGAGAAAACCATGGACTGAACTTGTGAGCAACGACAAAGTTATAGAGAAAATGAAACAAAAAAGGACACTTATATATCTACGGAAAGAGACAATTGAAATTTCTAGGACACATAATGAAGAAAGAGGGCTTGGAAAATTTAACACTCACAGGACATGTTGAAGGCAAGAGAGACCGAAGAAAACAACGATTAACTTATGTAACGAGTTTGTGTAAATGGTTGACAGAACAAGGATTAGGAGAGATAGCAAAATGACAAACACTGTTAAGAGTTACAAAGGATAGCAAGTTGTAGGAGCCATGATCGACCACGCCCTTAAAGGACACGGCACATAGAAAAGGTTTGAATGCATAAGCGAGCGCGCACGAACACACACACACACATACATAGACACACACACACACGCATTTTCCAATCTGTTTAAAAGTTTTTATCGAAAAACCGATTTTCAAATTTGTATTCAAATTCTAATTTTCATAAAGAATTTTTGTGACTGTTTGCATCGACTTAACTACTCTTAAATAATAATAATAATAATAATAATAATAATATTATAATTCTGCTTATCCCTCCCTTAGCACTTACGTACGTTACGTCCTGCCAATACCTCATAAATAATGGACTATTCCATTTTGTTCGCGTGAAATGACGGAAAAGACATATTAAAGACGCTACTTGGTTTGAAAGAAAGGAACAAAGAAAGAAGAAGCGTTAATGTGTTTAACGTCTGTTTCAGTGAAATGGAAAAAGTTGTTAATTTCAAATCATTTCATTTGTATCCCCTTACTTTAAATAACGACCAGCATTCATATTTATGATTGTAACTTTTGTTTATTAAAGTTGTTACGCTCAAATATTTAATGATGCGATCGGGGAATTTCTACGGATACTTTATTGTTGTAGGACTCGCCATAAGCTTATTCAATCATTAACTGAAGAATTAAGATTCAGCAGAAAATAGGAAAACCGCTACATTTTCAAGGGCATTTCTAATAATAATAATAATAATAATAATAGAACGAAGCTACCTGTTTGAGGTCATACAGCTTAATTTGCTGAAAACGAAAAACCGCGCGGAAGAAAACAAAATAATAATAATAACAACAACTCAGGATATCCGAAATTAGCAAAAAATGAATGTACCCACAGATATAATAAGGTAGCGACATATGTACAATGGAAGATATGCAAGAAGCACAAAATCGAAACCACTGAGAGATGGTATGAACACCAACCAGACACAATTACCCAAAATAACGATATAACTATCCTTTGGGACATGCCAATTCAAACTTACAAGGAAATAAAAGCCAGCAGACGTTCTATTACCATAAAAAACAAGAAATTCAGGAAGTGTGTGCTTATTAGCATAGCAGTACCATCTGAGAGAAACACCTCCATGAAAATGATCGAGAAATTGTCCAAATACAAAGACCTGGAGATCGAGATTAACAGGATGTGGAGAATGAATACTGAGACTGTCGTACCAATAGTAATCGGGGAACTAGGTTTCGTGAAAAAAGGAATGGATAATTTTACTAACAGTGTCCCAGGTAACATCAACATGCAAGTTGCCCAGAAGATCGCCCTACTAGGAACATCCCATATACTAAGAAAAGTGCTATTAACAATTCTCCTATTGGCCCTAAGGACCATAGTTTGGACCCAGCTCTACAGGATACAAAGCAGGAAACATAACATACACAAATAATAATAATAATAATAATAATAATAATAATCCGGTTACAGAAATAGAAGATGTCACCATTCTATGGGATTATACCATCCACACAGACAGAAAAATTGAAGCAAATAGGCCGGACATTATTGTCAAAAACCAGAAAGAAAAAACTTGCCTACTAATTGATATGGCTTGTCCAGCGGATTGTAACATAGCAACCAAGGAATTTGAAAAACTATCAAAATACAAAGACCTGGAAATTGAAATAGAAAAATGTGAAATTGAAAACAAGAATAATACCAGTGGTAATAGGTGCACTTGGAATTATAAAAAATGGAACAAAACAACACATTGAAAGAATCCTGGAAACCCCAGCTTAAGAGACATACAGAAAATTGTCTTATTAAGTACAGCACACACACTAAGGAGAACTTTGTCTATGTAACGCTAGCAACTTCATCGGAGAAAAAAAAAAAAAAAAAAAAAATTAACATGAAATGTGGCCATAACAACACACCACGACCTGCCTTAGGTCTTTCCGCAGACTTGGTAGGTAGTGTGTCCCATACAAGAAATAATAATAATAATAATAATAATAATAATAATAATAATAATAATAATAATTGTTTTTGCAAAAAAAAAAAAAAAAAAAAAAAAAAAGAAGTTCGGCCAGCAGAGTATATACGTACAATAAATATTATAGATTTTTTTAAAGGCAAGAAATCTTTGTAATTAAAATTTTAAAATGATCAGTACTATTAAGAAATAGAACGTCAAATAAATAATGGAAGATAAGTCGATCATTTAATTTTATTTCTTTTCTGTACAATATCGTCATCGTTGATTATTGGTGATTAAATGTGCAAAATAAAAAAAAAACAAAACAAATCAAATTTTTCAACAAATTTTGAAATATTAGTTCAGACACAAACTAAGTAATGTTTACTTTCTCGACATATTTTATTTTTATTTTAGGAAAAGGACGGTTTAAAAAGTCAATGAAAACACTCACTCAAGCGATCGAAATTATAAAGCAACTGGTAGCTATATGTAAAGAACTAAAACTCAACTTGTTTTGTTTATGTTTCATAGTAAAGAAATGTAGGTTACTGGTTGGGTTTGTAGTGAAGAAAACGGATATGAAAAAGTTGGAAGCAAGCAACAGTAAGAAAAAAAAATCTATTGCCCCTGCGAAATCGAAAAAAAAAAAAAAAAAGGACAAAGGAAAAACGGGAGGTATGTAGGAATTAAAAATAAGCCCTTACCTTAGGTTAATTACACCTCCCGATGTTAATATAGGTAAAAATAGAATCGGCCTCAGGTCGGGCCGTCTGCCCCCACGTTTCGACGACGTTTACTCTTACTAAGCAGAATGACAACTGATTTTTCTGTGATAGAGTATAAAGGAGTAAAAACGAGGCTGTTGAACAACTTGTTACTTTAACTTGCTGCAACCACCAGTAAATAACCGATAAAAGGCCATTTTTAACTGGCCCATGTCAATTAATCAAGTAGACATAGATGTCGTCTTGAAATGGAGTTTTATACCGAATTTTGGGCGAAGTAATTAATGAGCATATTGCATAAGGTTGTGACGTAGTGTAATTACATATGACCACACACGTACACACTTGTATGAAAATATCTATCTATCTATCTATCTATCTATCTATCTATCTATCTATCTATCTATCTATCTATCTACTCTCTAATCAGTTAATATCTATCTCTACTATATAATTTGTTCTATCTATCTATCTATCTATCTATCTATCTATCTATCTATCTATCTATCTATCTATCTTTCTATTCTAATCAGTTAATGTCTATCAGTCTATCTCTCTCAGTACATCCATTTATGTGTCTACGTGTTGGCCTAAATGTTTATTCGATTTATTGGCACACTCACAGATACACATACACCCCCCCATTAGCACAAACGAGATAAATGTACAAATGTTAAGAAAGTTTTATTCGATTTGGTTTCAGTTCCATTTGGGCATTTAATGCAGTATTAAATTAAGTTGAATTAAATGGAAAAATCGTGCGCAGCATCGCCATCATTCTCTTTTCGGATTGATATGAATGAGGATATGGTCGAGGATTCGAAATTTTTTCAATTATTTTTAGATTTTATCACATCCATGAACTTCACATTAGGACGACTTTTAACTGTAGGCCTTCTTAATCCATTGTTAAATTTATTCAGACCAGAACTCACATAGATGATGACAGGGACATCTTTATGTCATATAGACAAGATTTCAATATGGTTCTGGCATATTGGTTTCTAAACAGGTGGATATTTGAGATTATCTATCTATCTATCTATCTATCTATCTATCTATCTATCTATCTATCTATCTATTCTAATCAGTTAATATCTATCTATCTATCTATCTATCTATCTATCTATCTATCTATCTATCTATCTATCTATCAATTTACTCTAATCAGTTAATATCTATCTATCTATCTATCTATCTATCTATTTACTCTAATCAGTTAATATCTATCTATCTATCTATCTATCTATCTATCTATCTATCTATCTATCTATCTATACTGAAATCTGTTAATATCTATGTCTACGTGTATAGATTTTCTTTTTCATCTTCCAATTTTGGCGGCCATGTCATTTACTAAAATTCTAATCTTAAGTGTCTATAACGGAAAAGTAGTTTATTATTCCTACATTTGTCGTTGATCAGTCACTAGTTTTGCTTTGATGTGAAATTAAATGTCGGATGTGCTGACAGTTTTAAAGTCTTTACTCATTCATTTACTCGCTTACCCAATGAAAACACACACACACACACTAGCGTCTTTGTTCATTTATTTCCAAACCATTACAGAATTGAAAAATGCAGGGTGGAAATGAAAAGGGCTGTGAAGGCGGGAAGGTAGTGCATTATTAAGAAAAACACTGGAGAAAAACGAAAAGAAAAGCGGGTGAGAATGATGGAAGAAAGACAAACGGACTGGCTATTTTATTTCTTACAGTAAGGTTTACTCTTTACAAGGCCCGAGGGCCTTTCGAGGTAGACGGTTACGTTAGGAGACAATTTTTGTACGTATAGGAGTGGAAGATAACGGTTGACCCTAGCCTTGAACATGTTAAGATTGTAGTGATCGGGGAAACATCCCCTTGAGAGTCGGTTCCACAGAGCAGTGATTCGCACGAAGAAGCTGTTCGAGTGGAACTCACTTCCCACCGATGGAATACAGAGGGAAGGTTTGAATTGGCGGGAAAAGTGAATGTAGTTCGTCCGAGAACTTTCCGTGGAAGTAGCGATAGAGCAGCGAAAGGCGTGCCACATCTCGACTGAGGGAGAGAGGTTGGAGGGTGGAGAACAACTCGTCACCCACAAGGGCCCGGAGACGCGTTGCTTTTATTCCTCCTTTGATTTTTAAAAAGTAGGTGAGTCTTTATTTAACATATTTTTCTCTTTGGGATTATAACGCACTCTTTACATTGGAAGGTAGGTAGGTAATTACAATTTTACAGTATTAAAAACACGGTCGCTAAATAGGAATCATGTCAAAGGCTTTCCCTTTCACGTCCAGTCCATGCTCGAGGTACGTGTCAATTGACGATAGTGTTGTTAGTACTAGAGAGTGAGAGAGAGAGAAAGAGAGAGAGAGGGGGGGGGAGAGTAGGAAAAGAGAAAGAGGGTAGGAAAAGAGAAAGAGAAAGAGAGTGAAAGTAACAAGAGACACACACGCACAGAGTTTATTTGTTTTTGTAGTTTCCTGTAAAAGTGCTTGTCCGTCCAACTAACATTGTTGTCTCTCAAAGGTCACAGACCGCAGTCTTCTGAAACAACTGACGCATTCTATTTACGACCATTTTAGTTAAATTAAATCAGACGAGAGGACAATGACAATAAAGATCAATTAACAGAAGACAAAGAAAAAAATCGAAGAGAAAAACACGTACAAGTCAATGACCGGATTAATATTACCAAATAGCATTTCTGATTTTTTGAAAAAGTTCGCAAACAGTGAATTTGAATAAAAAACGAAATGTTTTCGTGTCTTTTAGTTGTTGTAATGTTACTATTTCCGGTGTTCAATGAAAGCTGAAGGCGGATTGTCTTATTCACTGTCAAGAGAAATCTAGGCACTACCGAGGAAAATGCAGCGTCAGTAAACAATAAAAAATAAAATAAAATAAAAAAAGTACGGATTTATTTTACTCATTTATTTTTTACTGATTACCATCCCATTATTAGACCTTTCTCTATCTGCGATGTTTTTGTCAGAATCGAAATAATTTTTTTTTGCCAGAAGACTCACACTTTTTATTATTTGTTTTGGTAACTGCATTTATTCCGCATGAATTTATTTTTACTACTTTCACAATCTCGGCAATGTTTATTTCCAATACGATGTGAACCAAATACAATACGATATTTATTATTTACATTTTATAAAGATTTATTATTAAACATTTTACAAGGAAATAAGTGTGGAAAGAAATTTTTATTAAAAAAAAAATATCAAAATATGTAGACTATCTACAATGCAATATTTATTATTTACCATTTTATAAATAACTATGAAAACAAGTTTTTATTCATAATTCTATAAAATTCAATGAATTACTACATGAAAGAAAAAGACGCAAAATGCATTTTTTCCAAATTTATAATTAGTTACTCGTCATTATTTGTTTATTTAAATTTTCATGTTTGACAAATATTTTTTTAATAAATTTATGAATAAAAAATTATTTTCATATTAATTTCTTTATAAATTGATAAATGATAAAAATGGCATTGTATTTAGTTGGTTTGCATTTTTAGAATGTTGTAAGTATAAAATTATTCTTGCAAACATACAATTAAAAATACTAGTGTTTATAATTAAAATTAATTAAAATAACTAGTGTTTAATATTTTTGTTGTAATTTCTCAAGATCAAAGAAAATGTATAAATTCACTTTCATATATTTTGGCTTTATTAAAATTGTAAGCATAACTTTTTAAACAACAAACATTTCCGAGGGAGTGGAAGTAATTAAAATAATAGCGGTGTCAAGAGAAAATTCGTCGTTTTATTTCGAGCCCAAAAGTTAAAAATACCCAAAAATGAATGTAGGAATGCTGTTTTGAGTAATCTGGGATGCCTAAAATTGAAAATTATCATCTCATCAGCCACCTGTTATGCCACCGAGTAGTATGGCCAGTTTAAATTAACCACATATTGATTACAATTTCTTGATACATATAGAGAGTTCCTGAAACTTATATTTTACATTCTGTTTACATATTTGCAAACCTTCAAATTTCAATCGATATTGTAGTGAGTTTAGGCCCTGACACTTATGGTTGGCTGTAGAGAAGGTACATAGTAGTAGCAACTGACTAGCGCCTTTAAAAACCCATGCTTTAAAAATAAATTCTCTTCTTTTCATTTGCCTAAAGCATAGGGTCATCGACCCCCCTAACAAAAAGATCTACAGCCAATTTTTTAATATTTTTCTTGTTTCAGAAAAGTAAATGTAGATATTCGGACACTACTGTTAATAAAAAGCGTACCTCTTCTACAGGCAATATTTTAAAGTTATTATTTAATTCCTATTTTATTCTTTTTCTCTCTCTCTATATCCTCCTTGGGTTTATCCATACGGATTACCTAGTTTTTCATAAACTATATATATATATATATATATATATATATATATATATATATATATATATATATATATATATATATATATATATATATATCCATCCTTAGGTGTAAGTAAACAGTGTTCAAGGCAAATTAAAAGAGCTATTAAGTATATATTAATAAATATACATAATACTCCCAGGCCGACATTACGGCTCGGAATTTCATGCGCTGCACAATCGTCAGGTACAGCTCCCAGAACTTGGGACTCATCAGCAGTTCGCATCCACTACCAAGATTCGAACCCGAACCATTTCGATACATATCAAATGTACCAACGGGCTTCGGTGACGAAGAAGAAACAGAGTAGACTCGATATAGCGCCGCTACTCACAAATATAATTACGACTCCATTTCTGACCAAGACGGTATATTTCTCGATTGCAGAAGCTAAAATTCTAATTCTCGAAGATATTGTCGAACTTTTTTGACATAACATATCCCCTTCCTCTTTCTCTTTCTCTCTGTGTGTGGACGCGCGTGTATGTATGTGTGCGTGTGTGTGTATGTATGAGTTTGTGTGCATGTGTGTGAGTATGTGTATGTGTGCGTGTGTGTGTGTATGTGTATGTGTGCGTGTTTAAAATCGCTCACTCTCATCGTTTTCTGCATATATACAGATTCCCTTTAAATACATACGAATATTTGCTTGATGCAGCCAACTTTTGCACAGGGCTTCGTTTCTTTTAAAAGGTTAAGCTGTATCAATTTCTATAGAGGAATTAAATCGGATTTGTTTGGAAAACTGGTTTCTGGTCATAAATTTCAATAAACCATACAACTTTTGCTGATGTATTTATTCCC